CTATCATAATATATTTGCAGATATTTCCAATCTGACTAGTCGAATTATAATTATGACAAGTCAAAATATAATTAGAGATATCTCTAAATATATTTATGGATAGTCTGAACAAGGTTTAAATGCTAAAACGGCTTGCCATACGCTCTCACCCAGCAGCACAGTGGAGAGTTCTCTAGTTATATCCTTTCAGTCGTTTGTTATGCAGTGACATGCAGTCAAATATTTCGCCAAACAGTCCTTAGGGATGCGGTGACACGCAGTCAGATATTTTACCGGACAGATCCGCCACTTTTGGCGCGCATAAACAATCATAAAGCTCTCGTGCTGCAGGAATGAGGAGGTCTGCTGAAGGCGCGCAGCTGACGTGCAGTGAGAGGTTTGCGTCTTTAATAAACTACGGCAGTTTGCGATCACTGAACAGTAAGAATGATTAATAAATCCATATGAAACAACCCCTTAAAAGTCACGTCTCGCTTTCAGTTTCGGGCTTTGGCGCGTTTTGTCTCTCTCTCTCTCTCTCTCTCACTCACTCACTCACTCACGCGGGCATGCACTGTGGTCTCATGAGGAAACGCTGCTTTTTGATATAGTGTTTTTCTTGCTCCCGAATACAAATAATTTTTCAAGTATTTGTTCGAATCAAGTATTCGTAAAAACACGCTATTCGTGCCTTTCCGAAAACTGTATTCGGGTTCGGCTCCACCCTTAATATATATATATATATATATATATATATATATATATATATATATTAAATTTGGCTTTGAAATTTTAGTCTTTGGGACTCTACAGATCTTACATATGCATAAACAACTTAGGTAGCAGTGTTATTTTAGTATCAATGAGTTACTACTGCATTTAAGTCTTTTCAACTTAAAACTATCTTGTTAGCCAAAATAATAAATAAATAAAACGATTGAAAGCAAGCTTCAAAATGATTGCTTAAAAATTATAAAGCCCTACCTCTACATCAGGGGTCACCAATCTCGGTCCTGGAGGGCCAGTGTCCCTGCAGGGTTTAGCTCCAACTTGCCTTTACACACCTGCCTGGGTGTTTCAAGTATACATAGTAAAACCTTGATTAGCTTGTTCAGGTGTGTTTGATTAGAGGTTGGAGCTAAAATCTGAAGGACATCGGCCCTCCAGGAACAAGTTTGGTGACCCGTGCTCTACATCATTGCCCCTTTATTCAAACAATTCCTCAATTTGATCAGTTCCTGCCAAAACTGTTATAGCTGACAGCAAAATGAATGGTGAAGTCTCAGTTTTGACATGTTTGTTTGTTGTAACTGCATTTCGATCATTTAAATCATGTCATTGTGCTGTCATTTTCAAGTACTCAGGTATTCTTTCTGATCCCGGAAAAGCAAAACAACACAAATAACAAAAAACACTGATATGCATTTGAGAGATTGGAGCGTACAGGGAGCAGTCAACATGATAACAGTGAAGTCACTCACTCGCAGAGTCCCGCCTGGCCCGGCTGAGTCTGAGCACCACACGGAGAATCGGTCGGACGAGGCCCTTCATCTTTCTGCTCGATCACTCCACACACACCTGACGCAAAAAAGTAAATAAATAAATAAAAGCAAAAGATGCACTGGGGAGAGGCAGAGTGTTTTCGAGGGAGATATTTTCAGGAAAGAGAAAAAAGTGGATCAAAGTGTGAACTAAAGCTGCATGGAGTAGGTGTATGTGTGTGTTTCACGATGATTTCATGGTACAAATATAGCTTTGGGTCTGAGAAGCTGTAATTGGATGGCAGTTTTAGTTGGAAAACAGTGCTTTGCTTTATGATGTCCAGCTTTTAGGCTTTGATTACAGTAAAAGCAATTTTGTTCCACTGGGCAATTGAGATAAAGCGCAAAATTGGAAGCAAACTAGACTTTAAGACGGAGACAGACAAATTAGATGAAGAGACAGACGCAGACAGACAGATTATAGAAGCAGATAAGACCGATAAGATGGCTAGTGGCTACACAGTCAGAATTAACTAAATTAATAAAGGCTCTTTCACACCAAGGACAATCCACTTCTATTTTGGAGAACTTCAGTCTCAAAAGAACTTAAACATATCAGTTCATATGATAAATAAATAATCCATACACAGTATAAAGTGTGTGAGATGCACATTTGGCTTTGTGTTTCCATATTCATGTGAATGACCCATTCAGTTTTTTAAAGGGTCAAATCTTCTTGTAGTTTACTGCTTTTTTGTTCCTAAACAATATATGTTCTCTTTGTATTCCATACAGCATTGGTTTCCCAACGTTTATTTGCCTGCGACAGTCTAATTTGGATGGCCTCATGCATTCACTAACAAGAACTTTGGTGCAGATAAGGCACTGTGGCTGGGTCAGGGACTCTTTGCTTAAAAAAATGGAATAAAAACAATTTTTATTTTTAGGTCATTTTGTGTTTCCCGTATTGCTAGAGCTGTGACCCAAAATGTTTGGAGCATCCTCACCTGGGTCCAGCATGCTTGGGTCATTACACTTAACTACTGAAGAAGAATCAGAGACCGTCTTTTTTGTGGAGGACAAATTACAAGTCAGCCAGAGAATAAAATTAACTAAGACAACGTGATCATTCCCCTAATTGTACACTGCTAAAAAAGTTTTTAAAATATGATACGAATCCCCACCGAACTTGCTGAGGTCCCCTTGTGGGCCGGGGAAGCCCCTGTTGGGAACCGCAGCTATACAGTACATCAATATTAAAAATATCCATAATATTGCCCCAAACATACTTGTCTCAAGTTTTTAGGGCTTTCCTGGTCTGCTGAAAGTTAATTTCCCGTTATTTTTTAAACACTTATCTGATTGTTTATAGTTTGGCAGAAGTTATTCCCCTGATTTACACAAAGCATCATGGGAAAAGGTGGATAATATTCATAAGAAACATATCATTTTTTTTTTTTTAGAAATCAAAATGTCCAAAAGACATTTAATAATTTTTCTTTGGCTTAGTCTCTATTTCAAAGGTCAACACAGTGGAATGATCCGACAACTATTCCAGCATATGTTCTATGCAGCGGATGCCCTTCCACCCGAGTACTGGGAAACACTCATACACACTAATTTACACACATACACTACAGACCATTTTGTTTATTTAATGCACCTATAGCGCATGTTTTTGGACTGTGGGGGAAACCCGGCCCAGTATGGACTCAAACCAGCAACCTTCTTGCTATGAGGCGACAATAGCCCCTTTCACACAGTGATACCGGTAAATATCCGGAAAATTTCCGGAACGACTTTACCGGTAAATACAAAAAAGCGCTGTTCACACAGGCGAGGACGTTACGGAATTTTTCCGGAAAAGAGCATTGACACATCCATTCCAAAATACCGGTAAATTCTGACATCATTAACCAGAAATGACCTCTAAACGGCTGCGCTTATGTTTGTAAACATTTGATTACATCACAAACTCTGTGGATGGATCAGTATTGTGAACAACTTCGATGAAAACATGTACAGAAACACTTTCGCATGTCGAGATGTACATGAAACGTGTGTGTGCTGGCGCTAATGGGCTGTTTCATGGGCACACGCAAAGCTTGAAGGTAAACAAACAATGGCTTATCATAAGCATCTTATCGATAATTAATTACACGGTTGGCATTAAGATGAATATATAAACGTTATATGACTAATTTCTAGCAGCTAAATGTGTCTGGAAAAATATTTAAAGGCTTTTATTCTCATAAACCGCGCGGACGTGAATGCGTCTGACTGTTCTGATTGGCTAAAGCAGACGTCTCACGTCAGCACGTTCTAGACATGCACGCGCAAAAGCTCTAAAGGCTTTTATTCTCATAAACCGCGCGGACGTGAATGCGTCTGACTGTTCTGATTGGCTAAAGCAGACGTCTCACGTCAGCACGTTCTAGACATGCACGCGCTCTTTCCGGCAATCTTCCTTTTGCGTTCACACAGTGCAGCATTCCGGCAAATTACCGGTAATGTTACAACTTCTCTTTCCGGAAAATGGCCAGAACGAATTTACCGGTTGAAAAAATTACCAGCAATTTTCGGGAAAGGTCTGTATGTGTGAAAGGGGCTATAGTCTAAAGTAATAATACTAATAAATAAAAAAGTAGAGCCACAGTTCCTTGAAATCACTTTCCAAAACCTATTTTTCACATGACTGATAAAAACATCAAACAGAATCTAAACAAATTTCAAGAGTACAAGCAATTAAAGCAGCAAACAACAACAGTGCAGTGCATGCTCACAGTAAACAGAATATTATTAGTGTGGACATCGTATCACAGTTGTCATTCCTGATGAGAATAAGCCTTAAAGGAATAGTTCAACCAAAAATGAACATTTTCTCACCATTAACTCACACTCAACTGGTTTTAAACCTTTTTGAATTTCATTCTTTTATTGAACACAAAACAAAAAATAAAAATCTGAAGCATGTTTGGAAAAAGCAGCCGTTGACATCCATAGTTGGAACAAGAAATACTATGGAAGTCGACAGCTATGTTTCCATCCAACTATTTTTATGCGCATTTTGGATATGCGCATAAAAAATGGTTGATGGAAACGCCAAGATGCGCGCACATTTTGAAAATGCACATTAAAAAAACGTATGCACATACCTGAGTAGGATGAACTTTTCATTTGATAGGTAAAAATGCATATAAACTATGATGGAAACACTTTTCCCAAACTCCAGTTTGCGCATTAAAAAGGTCATGTGATTTTGTTATAAGAAATCATGTAATGATAAAAGTATGTGTGAATGGACAAACCAGCAGGCTGACCGCATTGTAAAACATCTGAAATGTTGTTTTGATCATTCTAAAATGCCTTAACAGTTTCAATATTAGTGTTATTATATTATTAATTACCACCAGAACTGTCAAGAGCGCCTGTGCTCCACGTCTTACACCTTTAAACGCCACTTCAAACCTTCATTGTGTGTCGGCATCATCTTCTGAGGTGAATGTCATTATTAAATAAAAAAAGATTCACGCAGCTTCTCTTGCTGCTTTATTCACACGTCTTTTATGAAATATCCAGTTTTGCGCATTCATTTAATTCACGTTTTTGAATGGAAGCATAGCTAATGGCTGTTTTTTTCTATTATTCTTCAGTATACGTTTTGAATTCAACAGAAGAGTAAATGATTACATTTTTTTTCATTTTTGGATGAACTATCGCATTAAACTTTTATCATTCTTACAAATAAACACGTACCAGTCTGTGCTCCTGGTGCAGTTTCAGTATTGTAGTTCACCCCTTTTTTCTGTGGACACAAAATGACGTTTAAACAAGTTTCTGAAATAAAAGGATGGCAATGAGAAGTGATATTTCACAACCAACCCTGGCACACGAGTGCTGTGAGCGTGGCTGTGTAGGAGGAAGTGTGTGTGTGTGCGTGCGTGTGTGTGCGTGTACCTGCAGTAAGGCCTGAAGCCTTGCAGGCTCCCAGTCTCGGAGGTAGAAGAGGCAGTCTCTGGGGTGATGGGCATGCAGACCTGTCACAGTACACTGGTTCACTGCACATGTCTGCCAGAGAAGGAGTGAGCAAAAGTGTGAGGGAAAGAGGATGAATAAAAAGGAGCGAAGAATCTGTGCTTTGGAGAAAGATGCTACTTTTAGCCATGTTCGTAGCTGGCTTCAAAACTGAATATCACAGTCGTGTGGAGCGCCGTATAGCATGCGCATGGAGCTACAAATAGACACAAATAATCCTTCGACAACAAGAAGAGAAAGGAACTCACTGTGTGGAAGGGGTTGTTACATCCACTGCAGAACTGATATCTGCACTGAGAACAGCTGAAGTGCATGCAGCCGCCCCTGGCCAGAGCATACTGGAACCTACAGTTAGGACAAGCTACAGAAAGACACGAATAAAACACTCCTTAGAAGAACAGAACTTTGTCATATAATATAAACATTCAGTCATTTCCTTTGGGTTAGTCCCTTATTTATCAGGGGTCACCACAGAGGCATGAACCGCCAACTATTCTGGAATGCAGCGGATGCCCTTCCAGCCACAACCCAGCACTGGGAAACACATTTCATTACAGCCAATTTAGTTAATCCAATTCACCTATAGTTCATGTCTTTGGACTGTGGGGGAAACCGGAGCACCCGAAGGAAACCCACACAAACATGGGGAGAACATGCAAAATTCAAACAGAAATGCCAACTGGATACTCGAACCAGCACCCCTTCTTGCTGTGAGGTGGCAGTACTAACCACTGAGCTGCCGTTATATAAACATAAAAACATAATTTAAAAACTGTGTTAGTATTTGTCTGCTGTCGCGGCTATAATCAAATGGTTACTGTTGAAAGTAAGCTATATGTGTAGGAATTAAGGAGAATCAGAAAGTTTATTTTTAAATCAGAGAGTGCTGATGAAAGATAAGACATGGACATAGACATGGCAACACAAAACTAAAACAAATGATCCTTACGCTGCAAAGAAATTAGATTTACCTCTTTAACAAAATACAAAACACTGGAGGGAATAGTTGAATTCATCTGGGGCTTTCAATTTTTTAGATGCTACAGACTCCCAAATATGATATGAAGGATCCCATCGTAAAATGTAAAAGGCAACTATGCAGTATCTTTTCTAAAGTCACTGTGTCTAAATGAGAAACATAAATGCTATTATTAAATTATAAATAGGCTTAAAATATTATATGAAAAATTATGTATTTAAAATATTATTTGAAAAAGAAATTAACGCTACAAATTTGATTAAAATATGTATTCATTTCAAACTAAATCAACATCATTTATTTATTTGAATCTTATTTCAACATATTTGAGAATTAATAAGTCTATGATGATTTTTAGTTAAGTAATTAGTATAGTCATTTTTAAGCATATACTTAAATATGATTAAGTTATAAATGGGTCTAAAATATTATTTGTAATTAAAAAAAATTCTATTGGGTTTTCAATTGTTTAAGTAATGTTTTCAATCTTTGAAACTTATTTTAAACAAAATTTCAATCTTTTATTGTTTATCTTATTTAATCATATTTATTCATCCATTCATTAATTTTTTTTTTTTTACTTTTTTTTGTGCCAGAATGGAATGAATCGCCAACTTATCAAGCACGTTTTACGCAGCAGATGCTCTTCCAGCCGCAACCCAACACTGGAAAACACCCATACACTCACAAATCCAACACACACACTACAGCCAATTTAGCTTATTGATATTATAAGCGCAAGTCTTTGGACTGTGGGAGAAACCGGAGCACCCGGACAAAACCCACAAGAACACGGGAAGAACATGAAAACTCCAAACAGAATGCCAACTGACCCAGCCGGGGCTTGAATCAGCGACCTCTTTGCTGTGAGGTGATCGCGCTACCCACTGCGACACTGTGTCACCTAATCTACCTAACCCTGTACTATTTCTATGTAATGTTTTAAGAAAAATTACTTTTATTTATATTTCATTTATATTTACATACTTATCTTAATAAAAGTGATAGTTTAGTATAAAAAAAAGAGTATGTAAAATTAATACATATAATAATAATAATAATAATAATAATAATAATAATAATAAGACCTTACTTTCTATAGATGAACATTTCAGACCGATAAATTGACAGCTGTAGATTCAGGAAAACAGAGTGAAAGAGAGAGAGCCTTAAGTGAAGCTTCTGTGTAATCAGTAATCTCCCTTCCTCACTCTCTTTCGAGGTGTGAATAAGTCAGAATAAGAATGTCGGCGAGTTATAAAAACCCAGCATTAATATTTCATTTGGTTTTGGGCCAAACCCAAACATTACATAACAAAACAAATAAACAGATCGCATGAGAAGGCAACATGTTTCCTAAGGTTAATTCTGTCGGGATGAAATCTGTTAGTCAAAGTGGTGCGGGCGGCAGTGAAGGTACTGTTAGCTGTGTAATAAGAGACTGAAAGTACAGGTTTGACAATCTTCTAGAGCAGACCAAAAGGTGACTCACTGATGCCGTTGTCACGCAGGTATCCGGCCAAACCCTGCCTCTGGTATTCAGGGTCATTCTCTCGCTTCCATAGCTGGAATTGCTCACACGAAAGACCCATGTGCTGTGGCTCCCACTGCAGATACAGAAAACACATACAGAGTGAAGAAGATATTCACATCTTCATTCAATGAAACATTAGTTTTTGTTTTTTGTTTTGGTCAAAGGCATGATATGTGAGATTCAATCATTAAAATATAAAAAAAAAAAAAAAAAACACTATGACAATGTTAGATATTTTGCTGAATAATGTGCTTACAACAGCCCAGGTTTGAAAAAATAATAAAGAAAAGAATACAGAAAAGTAGCCAGTTTTAACTAGTGACATGGACTATGTTAATGTTAATGCCATGTTAATGTCATACATCTTTAATTTCTGGTTTGGCTTTATAGAAAACGGAAACGTTTTGCTAATTTGAAAAAATCTAATTAGTTTATTAACTATTAGAATTACCATATTTTATCCATAACCAACAGAAGATAAAAATAGTATTTAATAGTTACATAAAAAACAACCACATCCAAATAGAAAGCCATCAGCCTTTCATTTTTTTCCTTTGCTGTTGGAAGTGGTATTAGTGAGGCCAGCAGGGGGTGCTCAACCTGCAGTCTATGAGAGTCCTAATGTCCTAGTAAAGTGAAGGGGACACTATACTGTCAGTGGACACTGTCTTTCGGATGAGATGTTAAACCCTCTGTGGTCATTGAAAAAATCCCATGGCACTTCTCATAAAGAGTATAGGTGTAACCCCATTGTCCTGGCCAAATTCCCTCCATCAGCCCTTACTGGCCTCCCAAACATCCTCATCCACTGAATTGGCTCTATCACTCCCCCTATAGCTGGTGTGTGGTGAGCACACTGGCGCCATTGTCCTGTGGCTGCCGTCATATTATTCAAGTGGATGCTGCACACTGGTGGTGGTGTGATGAGACCCCGCTCATGATTGTGAAGCGCTTTGAGTGTATGGCCACACACAATAATAAATGCGCTACATAAATACATACTTGCTTAATTAAAATTTTTTTTCTTTGGATAGCGACCCTTGGAGTGTTTGCCAAATATATTAATGACACATCAATAGCGCCAGTAGCGGCAGATTGATTTTACGGCACTATGGTAAACTTTGATACCTTTACGACACTCATGTACACAACAAAAAAATTAAAGCTTTTTTAAAAGATAAAATAAAGAAATAAATAAAAATCATGACATAGAATAAACTTATGCAGTAAACATTGTGCCCACCAGTCCCATTAGATGGAAGTTAATATTAAATTAAACCAATAAATAAATGATAAAAAAAATTATATGGCTGTTAGACTGTTGCATCTTTTTTTGTGTGTTTTCAATATGCTTGTTTATATAGTTGTATTGCTGTGTGTGCACAGTTGTGCGCAACGTTTGCATGTTTATAACCACTTCAGTGGACAGTGGAGGTTAAGAGTCACAGACTGAAAAGTTTGTTTTATTACACTGCATACAGCAGCATTATAACAGAAGTCCTAAAATGTATTTAGTTAGATAAAAAGCCCTGCTTCTTCCTCAAATGATCTCAACTGGAAGAACCTTAAGCAGCTGACTGTGGTGTAATAAAAGCTCTGCTGCTTTTGTGCTATCAACATTGGCTTCAGCACTCTCCTTTCAACAGCTTTCAGTCTTACTTTGCTTCATACTACCATCCTAATTAGTTTTGAATATATTAGCTCATCCATGAACATGATTTCTGCTGCAGCATTATAGGATATAATAATGAAGATGACAACTCCTGTGATTCCACACTCAATTGACATCTTTTTGTGTTGTGAAAGTGCTTCAAGCAACAAAAATACTGTACATTTAAGCTGATGGAATGAAAGACTAACAAATATATATGCAAAAATAATAAAGACATACTGTAAAACATCCAATGATTATAAACATTCTACTGTAAGAAATAAAAGCATTTAACTATTGCACTAAATATATAATAGAACTGAGATGCATAGGGAGGAAAATTAGTAATCTTTTTCGCAAATCTGTTTGGATCGTAAAGAAAATTAGGCAGAAATAATCTCCACATGCATATATAGATATTGGTCAGTTCAGATGCACTAAAATAAATTAGATTTTTCTTTTGAAAAATGAATGAGGTTGTTTTAGATTAATGATTCACCAGATTTAATCAGGAATGCTTTCAGTGCACACACATACATACGGGATAGTTCAATTTCATATGTATGATTTGCTGGAATGCATTAGGCTTCCTTCATTACATATACATATAAGCGTGTTCACTTCTAACGCACAACTGACTTGAATGAATCAGACTTCATGTTATTACACATGGATATAAAAGAGTTCTTTTCAGATAAAAAAATTTCACTAGAAGGAATCAGGCTTCTGTTGCTGCACATATATATGAGAAAAGTTGTTTCAGATTAAATTAATTATTTTTTGTTGTTACACCAACAGTAGAGAATGTTTGTTTTGGATGAGCGATTCACCAGAATAAACAGGATTTCAATCATTCTACGTACATATGCAAGAGTTTGTTTCATAAAGATAATTCCCCAGAATGAAACTCTTTTTTTATTATCACACATACATATAAAATAGATTCAGATTAATGACTTGCCAGAATGAAGCTCTCTTTCTGTCATTACACATACAGTAAGTCATACAGTCATCATACGCTCTAAAAATCTATACCTTTACCCCCATTACATCCTGTAATTTAAAAAAATCTGAGGGACAAAGTTAGGAGAAGGCTACAAAAACATTACAAACGCTGAAAAAGTTGTTTGGAATGTGATGTGATTTCAGGCTGTATGACAAATACAGTCATTATTACAAACGGGGTATGATGATTTTCTATAGGCACTGTATATTTAAGACATTTCTTTGTGGATTAACAAGTCATTAGACTGAATCAGAATTTTCATTAATACACCTAAATAAGATATGTTTTGAATAAACAATTTACTAGACTGAAAGTTTCTCTGTCATTGCGCATTTACAGCTTGTCTTGATTTCAATGAAAAATATACTGTAGTATTGGAAAGGAGACACTAATTCGAATCGGTTTACTTCTATCATGCAACTGAAAAACCCACAGAGTTAGAGGCACAGATCACCCAAAAATGAAAATTACCCCATAATTTACTCAGCCTTAAGTCAGCCTCTGTGTATCAATTTCTTTATTCAGATAAACACAGTCAGGGTGCTCTCACACTAGGCTATCCGAACCGTGCGTGGGAGTGTTTCCCAGTTTGTTTGACAAGTGTAAGTGCTTCAAATCGGCCCCAGACGCATTTCAGTTGGTCTGCCTTGAAGCATGAGCACAAAACTGAAGACGCAATTTCACTTTCAAGGAACAGTTTCATCTAAATTTATGAATCATTCTTACTTTTCAATGAAAGCGAAATGTCATAGTTATTAAAAACTGTCAGCTGCACCTTCAGCAAAACTCCTAATGCATGATAATTAATGAGCGTCAAAAGTGGTGGATCTGTTCGGCAAAATATTTGACTGCGTCACTGCATCCCAATCTCCACTGTACTGAGCGAGAGGGCTTGTCTTCCTGTCAAACTGAACAAGTGCATCATCAATGATGCAAGCGTGCTCCGGTTTGGAAAATGCAGTGGGACAAGTGCGCTTTGGCATGGTTCAAGCCAACTGTGCCTAGTGTGAGCACGTCCTCAGAGTAGTTTTAAACTTAATCCTGGCTCTTCCATGCTGTATTGAGTATGGTGGCCCTTTTTTCAAGCTTCTAAATGTGAATAGATACATCATAAAACTAACTAGTGTGACGTTTGTCTTATGAAGTGGTTTGATGATATTTTGTAACAAAAAACATTTCTCATTTTTAAAATTATAAACTTAATCACAGTTTATAATCACAGACTTATGATGGCTGCTGAATGCTCATTGATGACAACTTCTTGGATCGATATTTAATGATGTTCAAATAACAAACACAGATGTGACTCGAGCTCTTCTTCTCTTCCAGTGAAATCCTCAGATATTTTAACATATCGTTCTCCACTGTCAATTAGTTTAGTTACCCTGTTGAGTGTGGCGTTCACTTTTGCCCTTAATAATTACTTTCAATTGATCTTGTTTGTCCTTTTCCCTTTTCAGTTTTCTATTGGTTAATCTGGTGGCGTCAGGCCTTTAAAACGAACGGAAGCGGACTTCTACGGCCTCATTCCTCCACGTCACCACAGTCTTTGACGGCTTTATTGTTGTGTTCTCCTTTATGCTTTCCTTTTGATATTTGTTTGGAGTGGGGACCTCCAACCTGCTTTAGGTTTGTTTGGTTGTTCTTTATTATGTTGTTGGGCTCCCCATCTCTTGTCAATTTGGATTGTTTTGTTGGTTATGTTATGTTAATAAATAATTTAGCTGGAGAACTTTGGCCGTTGTTTATTATGTTACGTTGTCTTTTGGTCACGAGTCTTATTTAATTTAGGGACCGTAACATACCCTCATTTAGTTCTCTTTATTCAGTCACTGACTAAAGTTTTCACTTTGAACGCATCTTATGTCATCTCAAAGGTCAGCCATAATGTAAAAAATCTGCCAGCCACCAGTAGTCAATGATTTGTTAGTGTTAACTATTTTTTGTTACAGAAACATATCAATTTCTTCATAATACATGTGTTAACTCCCTTGGAGATTGTGGGTTAATTTTACAATGGACTTTTTAAAACTTTAAATAAAGCACCCCTACCCAACACCATTATACAGCTTTTAAGATCCAAGATAAAACTACTTCAACTGTGTCCACCTGAAAAAGAAAGTCATATACTGTACGCAGAGGATGGCGATTTCTTTAAGAGTGTCACTAGTAATTTACTCCCAAACACTCACTGCAGATCTGTTTCATGCTTTCAGGGGAAAAAACAAAACACTTACTGTTTTTTTGCACTGAGCACAAAAGCTTTTCCTGCACTGGCTACAGGTGACCTTGAGTTGATCGTCGTCATAGATGAAGCCATATGAGCACTGTGGCAAAGAGAAGAGAGTGATGCACAAGCAGCAAACTTAAAGACACTGCTTTTCATATCACTGTCGAAAGCTGTTGATTCCATTTGTTAAGGTTCTGGGTCCACAAATGATCTATCAGATGCCAAAAGCTAATGACAAATAGTACTACTACACAACTGAAGGCAACATTCTTAGCCCTGCTGCTGTGAAAATGTAATTCTTTTAAAATATTTGTAAAGTGATGTTTAGCAGTTTTTTTTTAAACAAAATGTAAAATTTTTGTTAAACATAATTTACATTACGGTCAAAAGTTTGGGTTCAGTAAGATTTTTAAATGTTTTAAAATAAGCTTCTCCGGCTCACCAAGGCTGCGTTTATTAAATCAAAAATACAGTACAAATTGTAAAAATGTGAAATGTTATTGCACTATACCATAACTTTCAAAGTTTCAGTGATTTGAATGAAGACTGGAGTACTGAAGCGGAGTCACATGATCCTTTAGAAATCTCTCTAATATTAATTATTATTGTTATTATTATTATTAATAGTAATAGTAAACAAAGCAATAATGACTGGAGTAATAATTTCATTAGTAACTACATACAATAAGTAATAAATAAACATTTAATAAATAAGTATTTAACTTAACTTTTTTGCATTTAAAAAATGCCTTCATGACAAACAGAATAATTTTATTAAAAAAAATAATAATAATAATAAAAACATGTAAAAAACAGAACGGACCCCAAACTTTTCACTGGTAGTGTATATATACACATTCACATATAAATGGACACATTTTTAAACATCCGTTTTAATTTTAATTTCCAATAATTACATTATTTAGTTTTTTTTGTTATGATGAAATTATATCATATTTTGGTAATTATTTTACAATATTTAAAGGTTTAACTAGGTTACTTAAGTTAACTAGGAGAGCTAGTTTAATTAGAAAAAACATTGGACAACATTAATTTCCGTTTCTGTAGTCAATCAAAAAATGTTAAGGGGATAAAATCGATCTTTAAAGGGCAGCTGTGAAAATCATCTTTTGTAAGCTGTTTGGACAGAATTGTGTGTATAGGTAAAGTGGGTCCACGGTCTTATTGGGGTGATATAAAGTGTTTATAACAAGTCTCTTTTTTTTATTTCCTGACGTTAAAATAGGATCCAATGTGATTTTGAGGCCCAGCATAACATGATGTAGGAGTGCAGTTTTCCCCGCCCGCCGAATTAATTGACAGGTGCCATGTCTCTATAATAACATGTATACAGTGATCCCTCGCTATAACGCAGTTCACTTTTCGTAGTCTCGCAATTTTCTGGATTTTTTTTTTTGTGTAATTTGACATGCTTTTTTCGACAGCGCATTGTATTCTGTGTCCTGACTGGCTGTAGACCACTGTCAATCAATCTTCTCCTTGCTGTGTCTCCTGTACAGTTCAGAATGCTTTCAGCTTGCCAAATTTACAAAAATCTTTGATCGTTAGCAGTGTGACTTTGAAGTGCTGTACTGTATGTTTGCAAATTTATTTTTACAGTGTCGACGAAACGTTCTGCACCCTCAAAGGCACCTGCGGTAGCACCCAAAAGACAAAGAAACATGCTAACCATCGCACAAAAAGTTGAACTTCTACCTTCCTTTAGCATGTCCAGAAGTTACGTGGCTTTAGGGCACCATTACAGAATTAAAAAATAAAGACCAAATGTTTTTGATCTTTGGTTTCCTTCTACATATTTTTCGAAGGCTTGAACATTAAATGTTTAAACAAGGGGGGAAAGTGTGAAAATGTTAATGCCTGTCTGAGAAAAGTTTACAAAGCGTGTAGTGAGACAGCCCCAAAAACATCTATAATAATTGTAAAAAATAAAAAGGACTACTTTTGTCTATTGTGGGTCATTTTTAGAATGTAACTGCCACGAATAACAACGGACCACTGTACACATGTCCAAAGAACATTTTTTGCAAAGAAACTGGGATTAAAACATATGGTCCAACTCTCATGTTTGTAATAAAGACAGTAAAATCGCTATAAAATTCTTAACCGATATAATCACCACGATCGCATGGTGTCAGTAAACGCGCATATGTGTGTGTGTGCACGCGTGTGTGAGAGTGTACTGCAGACAACATTCATGTGTGACTCATCGTATCAGAAAAGCTTGAATAGATTCCACCACAGATACATCAAATAAACTTACTTGATATTTTAAACTAGTGACCTTCTTTCAGCTTCATCCGTGTCTGTCTCTCAACAGTCAATGTTGTGGCGCAGCTATAAAGAAGTTATTATTATGTATTATAGATAGCAGATAGCATTTTTTATTTTAACTTTTGTTTTTTTAAAGCATGATGGTAAAACACGAACACCGTTATGAATGTATTAAAACATATGTTTGTTTGTAGTAAAAAATTGTAATAATAATTAAAAAATACTAATTTGTGCAGTAATTCTGCAATTATAGCTGGTGTATTCTGGGAAATTTTCGTACCCTGAAAAATTTTAGTTTCAAGGGCTATTTAGCCCTTCCCCTTGATTCTACGCCTTCAACCTAAAAAGAACTGGGACACCCCTACCCCTTAACGTGAACACGCAAAACGAGGGGCAGGGGTAAGATAAAGAGTTAAGGTGTATTCTACATTATATAATAAATAATCTGATGGGTATTTTGAGATAAACCTTTACAGACACTTACTGGAGACACCAAAGTGTCTCCGAATATTGTAAAAGAGGTCAAATATGTACCCTTTAAAATTTTTTTTACAAATTTAAAACCTGCTTTTATTTCATGCCAAACTTAAATACTTTCTCCAGAAGAAAAAATATAATATAATAGGTTGTGAAAATTTCCTTGCTCTGTTAAACATATTTGAGCAAGAATTTAAATGAAGAGAGCTAACAATTTTGCCTTCAACTGTGTTCTGCAATAATCTCAGATGATCACAAGATGATTTACCTTTTATAAGTGGTTAACATTTTGGCATCTGTTTTTCTCAAAGTATCTCTTTAATGTGTGGTATAACTTAACAGTGGTCAGTAATAGCGGCTGCAAGTGAGATTCCAATAAGTAGAGGCTTGGAAGCCTAAAACAGCATTTCATCCATCAAAACGTAACAAGCAGATGTGAGGGATCACTCACATGACTGCACCACAGAAACTTTGGGTCCTTGATGAGAGCCTGCTCAGTTAGCTTCTTGTGGAAGAGCTCGTACACCTCTTGTTCAAGACAATCCCTGAGCTGGCCAGTCAGAAACACACAAACGCAAATGCACAAAAGATTACTTCAGACATTATGGTGAGAAGCTTTAAGTCCAGTTATACCCTGGTATAATCATGAAGCAGTACAGCGCTGGTCATCTTTACTGTTGTATTTTTGGCTCTTGTGCAGTACCTGTATGTCCAGTGTAGAGAAGTAGCTGTTAAGGTGCTCTGGGTCGTTGATGTCAGGCTCTGTGCAGACAGGACACACCATGTCTCTGATGTGTTTGTCTCTCACCGCTATGGTAAAATGCTGCTGGAAACATCCACAGCACACTGAGCACTGGCATGATGTCAGAGACCGCATCTGAGAAAGACAGTTAAAAGTAAAGAAACTGTAAAATAAAAATCGTAATCCTGACTCAGGAAGATTCACAACATGTTTGCATATAGGGATTGTTAAAATGAGTCTTCAGTCTTTTCAGTCACCGTTAGTCATGTTGTAAGAAAACATGTATGACTTTACTGTTGTGTGTGTGTATATATATATATATATATATACATACATACATGCATACATGCATACTTACATACTTGCATGTAGCCAGCGGGATCTAAGTGGCCTGGAAGACCCACCCCTCACTGACAAAGGTCCAGAATTTGTCCCGTACATGAGCTCATTTGTTCTATTTTGAATGCTATGCCTTTGTAAACAGTGAAAATAGCCTATTGAAAAAGGATTTAAGACCAAGCAGAATCCTCTGTTGGCTGTCGCTTTAGCATGACTTTACCTAATCAGTTTTGGCTAATGATAACAATTATTTTAATTTTATAATCTGATGTTAAAGAAGTCATTTCTTGCTGATGTATTGTTTTTAACATTACATAACATGTAAACTAAAATGAAGTAAAAATGTGTGAAGCACCAAAAGTGAACCAAATTAAATGTTAGCCATGATTTTTCAAATGGATAAAAAAAAATCTATAAAAAGAGCTCCTGAAGCTCTACATTATATTATTATTATCATGTTTTATAATTTTTTGATTGAAATGGCCAAATTCTGACTAAGGACAGTTGAATGTACTGGTCAGATTTTTAATCTGATAAATAAATGGTCTAATAAATGACAATAGACTACAGTTTTTATATTAAAACTTAAACAGATTCCTATTTTTTCCTAATGATATATGATGTAATAAATTTGTATTTTAAAAACAAGTTTTGATTTTCGTTTTTCTTTTTTGCAAATCTTTAGGAAATATTTTAGTACATCAAATAGTGTGGTTATGATGATATCCGCAGAGCTAATCCAGCAAAAAAGAAATACTGCTTAAAATGTCACTACAATAGAGTATTTAAATCTTATGGTTAAATAGAAAATGGGGCATAGAACTGCAAAAAGATCCCCTATTTGATAAATAAAAGGCTACGGACCTGAAATTTCTCCAACAGACCTACAGAATGGCATTGATGCATCCTGAAGTAAAGTGAAATGGCCATAAACTCAAGCAAGATAGTAGTAATTGTATGCAGAACAATAGACCTTTATCTATAAATAAAGTATAATTATGGAAACTGTATGATGAACTGTGCTTATCATAACTGTAAGCTATGTCGTATTTGCATGCCTGTCAGTCAGTTTGCCAGTCTGCATATAACCTTAAAAGGCTAAACAAATAATGCACAGCACTACTGCGATTACAGAAAAGTTTGCTGAATTATATTATACTTACATTTTAATACATTTTGGTGTTATTATAAGCCACTATAAAAGAAAATAACAGCAACAACAGAAGATTTTAAATAAGAAACTAATGTCGTCGTGGCGGGAATGAATTTTGGTGTGGCGCCCCGCCAGGGAAGAATGATTGTAGTAGAAATATATATATATATTTCTACTACAATCATTCTTCCCTGGCGGGGCGCCACACCAAAATTCATTCCCGCCACGACGACATTAGTTTCTTATTTAAAATCTTCTGTTGTTGCTGTTATTTTCTTTTATAGTGGCTTATAATAACACCAAAATGTATTAAAATGTAAGTATAATATAATTCAGCAAACTTTTCTGTAATCGCAGTAGTGCTGTGCATTATTTGTTTAGCCTTTTAAGGTTATATGCAGACTGGCAAACTGACTGACAGGCATGCAAATACGACATAGCTTACAGTTATGATAAGCACAGTTCATCATACAGTTTCCATAATTATACTTTATTTATAGATAAAGGTCTATTGTTCTGCATACAATTACTACTATCTTGCTTGAGTTTATGGCCATTTCACTTTACTTCAGGATGCATCAATGCCATTCTGTAGGTCTGTTGGAGAAATTTCAGGTCCGTAGCCTTTTATTTATCAAATAGGGGATCTTTTTGCAGTTCTATGCCCCATTTTCTATTTAACCATAAGATTTAAATACTCTATTGTAGTGACATTTTAAGCAGTATTTCTTTTTTGCTGGATTAGCTCTGCGGATATCATCATAACCACACTATTTGATGTACTAAAATATTTCCTAAAGATTTGCAAAAAAGAAAAACGAAAATCAAAACTTGTTTTTAAAATACAAATTTATTACATCATATATCATTAGGAAAAAATAGGAATCTGTTTAAGTTTTAATATAAAAACTGTAGTCTATTGTCATTTATTAGACCATTTATTTATCAGATTAAAAATCTGACCAGTACATTCAACTGTCCTTAGTCAGAATTTGGCCATTTCAATCAAAAAATTATAAAACATGATAATAATAATATAATGTAGAGCTTCAGGAGCTCTTTTTATAGATTTTTTTTTATCCATTTGAAAAATCATGGCTAACATTTAATTTGGTTCACTTTTGGTGCTTCACACATTTTTACTTCATTTTAGTTTACATGTTATGTAATGTTAAAAACAATACATCAGCAAGAAATGACTTCTTTAACATCAGATTATAAAATTAAAATAATTGTTATCATTAGCCAAAACTGATTAGGTAAAGTCATGCTAAAGCGACAGCCAACAGAGGATTCTGCTTGGTCTTAAATCCTTTTTCAATAGGCTATTTTCACTGTTTACAAAGGCATAGCATTCAAAATAGAACAAATGAGCTCATGTACGGGACAAATTCTGGACCTTTGTCAGTGAGGGGTGGGTCTTCCAGGCCACTTAGATCCCGCTGGCTACATGCAAGTATGTAAGTATGCATGTATGCATGTATGTATGTATATATATATATATATATATACACACACACAACAGTAAAGTCATACATGTTTTCTTACAACATGACTAACGGTGACTGAAAAGACTGAAGACTCATTTTAACAATCCCTATATGCAAACATGTTGTGAATCTTCCTGAGTCAGGATTACGATTTTTATTTTACAGTTTCTTTACTTTTAACTGTCTTTCTCAGATGCGGTCTCTGACATCATGCCAGTGCTCAGTGTGCTGTGGATGTTTCCAGCAGCATTTTACCATAGCGGTGAGAGACAAACACATCAGAGACATGGTGTGTCCTGTCTGCACAGAGCCTGACATCAACGACCCAGAGCACCTTAACAGCTACTTCTCTACACTGGACATACAGGTACTGCACAAGAGCCAAAAATACAACAGTAAAGATGACCAGCGCTGTACTGCTTCATGATTATACCAGGGTATAACTGGACTTAAAGCTTCTCACCATAATGTCTGAAGTAATCTTTTGTGCATTTGCGTTTGTGTGTTTCTGACTGGCCAGCTCAGGGATTGTCTTGAACAAGAGGTGTACGAGCTCTTCCACAAGAAGCTAACTGAGCAGGCTCTCATCAAGGACCCAAAGTTTCTGTGGTGCAGTCATGTGAGTGATCCCTCACATCTGCTTGTTACGTTTTGATGGATGAAATGCTGTTTTAGGCTTCCAAGCCTCTACTTATTGGAATCTCACTTGCAGCCGCTATTACTGACCACTGTTAAGTTATACCACACATTAAAGAGATACTTTGAGAAAAACAGATGCCAAAATGTTAACCACTTATAAAAGGTAAATCATCTTGTGATCATCTGAGATTATTGCAGAACACAGTTGAAGGCAAAATTGTTAGCTCTCTTCATTTAAATTCTTGCTCAAATATGTTTAACAGAGCAAGGAAATTTTCACAACCTATTATATTATATTTTTTCTTCTGGAGAAAGTATTTAAGTTTGGCATGAAATAAAAGCAGGTTTTAAATTTGTAAAAAAAATTTTAAAGGGTACATATTTGACCTCTTTTACAATATTCGGAGACACTTTGGTGTCTCCAGTAAGTGTCTGTAAAGGTTTATCTCAAAATACCCATCAGATTATTTATTATATAATGTAGAATACACCTTAACTCTTTATCTTACCCCTGCCCCTCGTTTTGCGTGTTCACGTTAAGGGGTAGGGGTGTCCCAGTTCTTTTTAGGTTGAAGGCGTAGAATCAAGGGGAAGGGCTAAATAGCCCTTGAAACTAAAATTTTTCAGGGTACGAAAATTTCCCAGAATACACCAGCTATAATTGCAGAATTACTGCACAAATTAGTATTTTTTAATTATTATTACAATTTTTTACTACAAACAAACATATGTTTTAATACATTCATAACGGTGTTCGTGTTTTACCATCATGCTTTAAAAAAACAAAAGTTAAAATAAAAAATGCTATCTGCTATCTATAATACATAATAATAACTTCTTTATAGCTGCGCCACAACATTGACTGTTGAGAGACAGACACGGATGAAGCTGAAAGAAGGTCACTAGTTTAAAATATCAAGTAAGTTTATTTGATGTATCTGTGGTGGAATCTATTCAAGCTTTTCTGATACGATGAGTCACACATGAATGTTGTCTGCAGTACACTCTCACACACGCGTGCACACACACACATATGCGCGTTTACTGACACCATGCGATCGTGGTGATTATATCGGTTAAGAATTTTATAGCGATTTTACTGTCTTTATTACAAACATGAGAGTTGGACCATATGTTTTAATCCCAGTTTCTTTGCAAAAAATGTTCTTTGGACATGTGTACAGTGGTCCGTTGTTATTCGTGGCAGTTACATTCTAAAAATGACCCACAATAGACAAAAGTAGTCCTTTTTATTTTTTACAATTATTATAGATGTTTTTGGGGCTGTCTCACTACACGCTTTGTAAACTTTTCTCAGACAGGCATTAACATTTTCACACTTTCCCCCCTTGTTTAAACATTTAATGTTCAAGCCTTCGAAAAATATGTAGAAGGAAACCAAAGATCAAAAACATTTGGTCTTTATTTTTTAATTCTGTAATGGTGCCCTAAAGCCACGTAACTTCTGGACATGCTAAAGGAAGGTAGAAGTTCAACTTTTTGTGCGATGGTTAGCATGTTTCTTTGTCTTTTGGGTGCTACCGCAGGTGCCTTTGAGGGTGCAGAACGTTTCGTCGACACTGTAAAAATAAATTTGCAAACATACAGTACAGCACTTCAAAGTCACACTGCTAACGATCAAAGATTTTTGTAAATTTGGCAAGCTGAAAGCATTCTGAACTGTACAGGAGACACAGCAAGGAGAAGATTGATTGACAGTGGTCTACAGCCAGTCAGGACACAGAATACAATGCGCTGTCGAAAAAAGCATGTCAAATTACACAAAAAAAAAAATCCAGAAAATTGCGAGACTACGAAAAGTGAACTGCGTTATAGCGAGGGATCACTGTATACATGTTATTATAGAGACATGGCACCTGTCAATTAATTCGGCGGGCGGGGAAAACTGCACTCCTACATCATGTTATGCTGGGCCTCAAAATCACATTGGATCCTATTTTAACGTCAGGAAATAAAAAAAAGAGACTTGTTATAAACACTTTATATCACCCCAATAAGACCGTGGACCCACTTTACCTATACACACAATTCTGTCCAAACAGCTTACAAAAGATGATTTTCACAGCTGCCCTTTAAAGATCGATTTTATCCCCTTAACATTTTTTGATTGACTACAGAAACGGAAATTAATGTTGTCCAATGTTTTTTCTAATTAAACTAGCTCTCCTAGTTAACTTAAGTAACCTAGTTAAACCTTTAAATATTGTAAAATAATTACCAAAATATGATATAATTTCATCATAACAAAAAAAACTAAATAATGTAATTATTGGAAATTAAAATTAAAACGGATGTTTAAAAATGTGTCCATTTATATGTGAATGTGTATATATACACTACCAGTGAAAAGTTTGGGGTCCGTTCTGTTTTTTACATGTTTTTATTATTATTATTATTTTTTTTAATAAAATTATTCTGTTTGTCATGAAGGCATTTTTTAAATGCAAAAAAGTTAAGTTAAATACTTATTTATTAAATGTTTATTTATTACTTATTGTATGTAGTTACTAATGAAATTATTACTCCAGTCATTATTGCTTTGTTTACTATTACTATTAATAATAATAATAACAATAATAATTAATATTAGAGAGATTTCTAAAGGATCATGTGACTCCGCTTCAGTACTCCAGTCTTCATTCAAATCACTGAAACTTTGAAAGTTATGGTATAGTGCAATAACATTTCACATTTTTACAATTTGTACTGTATTTTTGATTTAATAAACGCAGCCTTGGTGAGCCGGAGAAGCTTATTTTAAAACATTTAAAAATCTTACTGAACCCAAACTTTTGACCGTAATGTAAATTATGTTTAACAAAAATTTTACATTTTGTTTAAAAAAAAACTGCTAAACATCACTTTACAAATATTTTAAAAGAATTACATTTTCACAGCAGCAGGGCTAAGAATGTTGCCTTCAGTTGTGTAGTAGTACTATTTGTCATTAGCTTTTGGCATCTGATAGATCATTTGTGGACCCAGAACCTTAACAAATGGAATCAACAGCTTTCGACAGTGATATGAAAAGCAGTGTCTTTAAGTTTGCTGCTTGTGCATCACTCTCTTCTCTTTGCCACAGTGCTCATATGGCTTCATCTATGACGACGATCAACTCAAGGTCACCTGTAGCCAGTGCAGGAAAAGCTTTTGTGCTCAGTGCAAAAAAACAGTAAGTGTTTTGTTTTTTCCCCTGAAAGCATGAAACAGATCTGCAGTGAGTGTTTGGGAGTAAATTACTAGTGACACTCTTAAAGAAATCGCCATCCTCTGCGTACAGTATATGACTTTCTTTTTCAGGTGGACACAGTTGAAGTAGTTTTATCTTGGATCTTAAAAGCTGTATAATGGTGTTGGGTAGGGGTGCTTTATTTAAAGTTTTAAAAAGTCCATTGTAAAATTAACCCACAATCTCCAAGGGAGTTAACACATGTATTATGAAGAAATTGATATGTTTCTGTAACAAAAAATAGTTAACACTAACAAATCATTGACTACTGGTGGCTGGCAGATTTTTTACATTATGGCTGACCTTTGAGATGACATAAGATGCGTTCAAAGTGAAAACTTTAGTCAGTGACTGAATAAAGAGAACTAAATGAGGGTATGTTACGGTCCCTAAATTAAATAAGACTCGTGACCAAAAGACAACGTAACATAATAAACAACGGCCAAAGTTCTCCAGCTAAATTATTTATTAACATAACATAACCAACAAAACAATCCAAATTGACAAGAGATGGGGAGCCCAACAACATAATAAAGAACAACCAAACAAACCTAAAGCAGGTTGGAGGTCCCCACTCCAAACAAATATCAAAAGGAAAGCATAAAGGAGAACACAACAATAAAGCCGTCAAAGACTGTGGTGACGTGGAGGAATGAGGCCGTAGAAGTCCGCTTCCGTTCGTTTTAAAGGCCTGACGCCACCAGATTAACCAATAGAAAACTGAAAAGGGAAAAGGACAAACAAGATCAATTGAAAGTAATTATTAAGGGCAAAAGTGAACGCCACACTCAACAGGGTAACTAAACTAATTGACAGTGGAGAACGATATGTTAAAATATCTGAGGATTTCACTGGAAGAGAAGAAGAGCTCGAGTCACATCTGTGTTTGTTATTTGAACATCATTAAATATCGATCCAAGAAGTTGTCATCAATGAGCATTCAGCAGCCATCATAAGTCTGTGATTATAAACTGTGATTAAGTTTATAATTTTAAAAATGAGAAATGTTTTTTGTTACAAAATATCATCAAACCACTTCATAAGACAAACGTCACACTAGTTAGTTTTATGATGTATCTATTCACATTTAGAAGCTTGAAAAAAGGGCCACCATACTCAATACAGCATGGAAGAGCCAGGATTAAGTTTAAAACTACTCTGAGGACGTGCTCACACTAGGCACAGTTGGCTTGAACCATGCCAAAGCGCACTTGTCCCACTGCATTTTCCAAACCGGAGCACGCTTGCATCATTGATGATGCACTTGTTCAGTTTGACAGGAAGACAAGCCCTCTCGCTCAGTACAGTGGAGATTGGGATGCAGTGACGCAGTCAAATATTTTGCCGAACAGATCCACCACTTTTGACGCTCATTAATTATCATGCATTAGGAGTTTTGCTGAAGGTGCAGCTGACAGTTTTTAATAACTATGACATTTCGCTTTCATTGAAAAGTAAGAATGATTCATAAATTTAGATGAAACTGTTCCTTGAAAGTGAAATTGCGTCTTCAGTTTTGTGCTCATGCTTCAAGGCAGACCAACTGAAATGCGTCTGGGGCCGATTTGAAGCACTTACACTTGTCAAACAAACTGGGAAACACTCCCACGCACGGTTCGGATAGCCTAGTGTGAGAGCACCCTGACTGTGTTTATCTGAATAAAGAAATTGATACACAGAGGCTGACTTAAGGCTGAGTAAATTATGGGGTAATTTTCATTTTTGGGTGATCTGTGCCTCTAACTCTGTGGGTTTTTCAGTTGCATGATAGAAGTAAACCGATTCGAATTAGTGTCTCCTTTCCAATACTACAGTATATTTTTCATTGAAATCAAGACAAGCTGTAAATGCGCAATGACAGAGAAACTTTCAGTCTAGTAAATTGTTTATTCAAAACATATCTTATTTAGGTGTATTAATGAAAATTCTGATTCAGTCTAATGACTTGTTAATCCACAAAGAAATGTCTTAAATATACAGTGCCTATAGAAAATCATCATACCCCGTTTGTAATAATGACTGTATTTGTCATACAGCCTGAAATCACATCACATTCCAAACAACTTTTTCAGCGTTTGTAATGTTTTTGTAGCCTTCTCCTAACTTTGTCCCTCAGATTTTTTTAAATTACAGGATGTAATGGGGGTAAAGGTATAGATTTTTAGAGCGTATGATGACTGTATGACTTACTGTATGTGTAATGACAGAAAGAGAGCTTCATTCTGGCAAGTCATTAATCTGAATCTATTTTATATGTATGTGTGATAATAAAAAAAGAGTTTCATTCTGGGGAATTATCTTTATGAAACAAACTCTTGCATATGTACGTAGAATGATTGAAATCCTGTTTATTCTGGTGAATCGCTCATCCAAAACAAACATTCTCTACTGTTGGTGTAACAACAAAAAATAATTAATTTAATCTGAAACAACTTTTCTCATATATATGTGCAGCAACAGAAGCCTGATTCCTTCTAGTGAAATTTTTTTATCTGAAAAGAACTCTTTTATATCCATGTGTAATAACATGAAGTCTGATTCATTCAAGTCAGTTGTGCGTTAGAAGTGAACACGCTTATATGTATATGTAATGAAGGAAGCCTAATGCATTCCAGCAAATCATACATATGAAATTGAACTATCCCGTATGTATGTGTGTGCACTGAAAGCATTCCTGATTAAATCTGGTGAATCATTAATCTAAAACAACCTCATTCATTTTTCAAAAGAAAAATCTAATTTATTTTAGTGCATCTGAACTGACCAATATCTATATATGCATGTGGAGATTATTTCTGCCTAATTTTCTTTACGATCCAAACAGATTTGCGAAAAAGATTACTAATTTTCCTCCCTATGCATCTCAGTTCTATTATATATTTAGTGCAATAGTTAAATGCTTTTATTTCTTACAGTAGAATGTTTATAATCATTGGATGTTTTACAGTATGTCTTTATTATTTTTGCATATATATTTGTTAGTCTTTCATTCCATCAGCTTAAATGTACAGTATTTTTGTTGCTTGAAGCACTTTCACAACACAAAAAGATGTCAATTGAGTGTGGAATCACAGGAGTTGTCATCTTCATTATTATATCCTATAATGCTGCAGCAGAAATCATGTTCATGGATGAGCTAATATATTCAAAACTAATTAGGATGGTAGTATGAAGCAAAGTAAGACTGAAAGCTGTTGAAAGGAGAGTGCTGAAGCCAATGTTGATAGCACAAAAGCAGCAGAGCTTTTATTACACCACAGTCAGCTGCTTAAGGTTCTTCCAGTTGAGATCATTTGAGGAAGAAGCAGGGCTTTTTATCTAACTAAATACATTTTAGGACTTCTGTTATAATGCTGCTGTATGCAGTGTAATAAAACAAACTTTTCAGTCTGTGACTCTTAACCTCCACTGTCCACTGAAGTGGTTATAAACATGCAAACGTTGCGCACAACTGTGCACACACAGCAATACAACTATATAAACAAGCATATTGAAAACACACAAAAAAAGATGCAACAGTCTAACAGCCATATAATTTTTTTTATCATTTATTTATTGGTTTAATTTAATATTAACTTCCATCTAATGGGACTGGTGGGCACAATGTTTACTGCATAAGTTTATTCTATGTCATGATTTTTATTTATTTCTTTATTTTATCTTTTAAAAAAGCTTTAATTTTTTTGTTGTGTACATGAGTGTCGTAAAGGTATCAAAGTTTACCATAGTGCCGTAAAATCAATCTGCCGCTACTGGCGCTATTGATGTGTCATTAATATATTTGGCAAACACTCCAAGGGTCGCTATCCAAAGAAAAAAAATTTTAATTAAGCAAGTATGTATTTATGTAGCGCATTTATTATTGTGTGTGGCCATACACTCAAAGCGCTTCACAATCATGAGCGGGGTCTCATCACACCACCACCAGTGTGCAGCATCCACTTGAATAATATGACGGCAGCCACAGGACAATGGCGCCAGTGTGCTCACCACACACCAGCTATAGGGGGAGTGATAGAGCCAATTCAGTGGATGAGGATGTTTGGGAGGCCAGTAAGGGCTGATGGAGGGAATTTGGCCAGGACAATGGGGTTACACCTATACTCTTTATGAGAAGTGCCATGGGATTTTTTCAATGACCACAGAGGGTTTAACATCTCATCCGAAAGACAGTGTCCACTGACAGTATAGTGTCCCCTTCACTTTACTAGGACATTAGGACTCTCATAGACTGCAGGTTGAGCACCCCCTGCTGGCCTCACTAATACCACTTCCAACAGCAAAGGAAAAAAATGAAAGGCTGATGGCTTTCTATTTGGATGTGGTTGTTTTTTATGTAACTATTAAATACTATTTTTATCTTCTGTTGGTTATGGATAAAATATGGTAATTCTAATAGTTAATAAACTAATTAGATTTTTTCAAATTAGCAAAACGTTTCCGTTTTCTATAAAGCCAAACCAGAAATTAAAGATGTATGACATTAACATGGCATTAACATTAACATAGTCCATGTCACTAGTTAAAACTGGCTACTTTTCTGTATTCTTTTCTTTATTATTTTTTCAAACCTGGGCTGTTGTAAGCACATTATTCAGCAAAATATCTAACATTGTCATAGTGTTTTTTTTTTTTTTTTTTATATTTTAATGATTGAATCTCACATATCATGCCTTTGACCAAAACAAAAAACAAAAACTAATGTTTCATTGAATGAAGATGTGAATATCTTCTTCACTCTGTATGTGTTTTCTGTATCTGCAGTGGGAGCCACAGCACATGGGTCTTTCGTGTGAGCAATTCCAGCTATGGAAGCGAGAGAATGACCCTGAATACCAGAGGCAGGGTTTGGCCGGATACCTGCGTGACAACGGCATCAGTGAGTCACCTTTTGGTCTGCTCTAGAAGATTGTCAAACCTGTACTTTCAGTCTCTTATTACACAGCTAACAGTACCTTCACTGCCGCCCGCACCACTTTGACTAACAGATTTCATCCCGACAGAATTAACCTTAGGAAACATGTTGCCTTCTCATGCGATCTGTTTATTTGTTTTGTTATGTAATGTTTGGGTTTGGCCCAAAACCAAATGAAATATTAATGCTGGGTTTTTATAACTCGCCGACATTCTTATTCTGACTTATTCACACCTCGAAAGAGAGTGAGGAAGGGAGATTACTGATTACACAGAAGCTTCACTTAAGGCTCTCTCTCTTTCACTCTGTTTTCCTGAATCTACAGCTGTCAATTTATCGGTCTGAAATGTTCATCTATAGAAAGTAAGGTCTTATTATTATTATTATTATTATTATTATTATTATTATTATATGTATTAATTTTACATACTCTTTTTTTTATACTAAACTATCACTTTTATTAAGATAAGTATGTAAATATAAATGAAATATAAATAAAAGTAATTTTTCTTAAAACATTACATAGAAATAGTACAGGGTTAGGTAGATTAGGTGACACAGTGTCGCAGTGGGTAGCGCGATCACCTCACAGCAAAGAGGTCGCTGATTCAAGCCCCGGCTGGGTCAGTTGGCATTCTGTTTGGAGTTTTCATGTTCTTCCCGTGTTCTTGTGGGTTTTGTCCGGGTGCTCCGGTTTCTCCCACAGTCCAAAGACTTGCGCTTATAATATCAATAAGCTAAATTGGCTGTAGTGTGTGTGTTGGATTTGTGAGTGTATGGGTGTTTTCCAGTGTTGGGTTGCGGCTGGAAGAGCATCTGCTGCGTAAAACGTGCTTGATAAGTTGGCGATTCATTCCATTCTGGCACAAAAAAAAGTAAAAAAAAAAAAATTAATGAATGGATGAATAAATATGATTAAATAAGATAAACAATAAAAGATTGAAATTTTGTTTAAAATAAGTTTCAAAGATTGAAAACATTACTTAAACAATTGAAAACCCAATAGAATTTTTTTTAATTACAAATAATATTTTAGACCCATTTATAACTTAATCATATTTAAGTATATGCTTAAAAATGACTATACTAATTACTTAACTAAAAATCATCATAGACTTATTAATTCTCAAATATGTTGAAATAAGATTCAAATAAATAAATGATGTTGATTTAGTTTGAAATGAATACATATTTTAATCAAATTTGTAGCGTTAATTTCTTTTTCAAATAATATTTTAAATACATAATTTTTCATATAATATTTTAAGCCTATTTATAATTTAATAATAGCATTTATGTTTCTCATTTAGACACAGTGACTTTAGAAAAGATACTGCATAGTTGCCTTTTACATTTTACGATGGGATCCTTCATATCATATTTGGGAGTCTGTAGCATCTAAAAAATTGAAAGCCCCAGATGAATTCAACTATTCCCTCCAGTGTTTTGTATTTTGTTAAAGAGGTAAATCTAATTTCTTTGCAGCGTAAGGATCATTTGTTTTAGTTTTGTGTTGCCATGTCTATGTCCATGTCTTATCTTTCATCAGCACTCTCTGATTTAAAAATAAACTTTCTGATTCTCCTTAATTCCTACACATATAGCTTACTTTCAACAGTAACCATTTGATTATAGCCGCGACAGCAGACAAATACTAACACAGTTTTTAAATTATGTTTTTATGTTTATATAACGGCAGCTCAGTGGTTAGTACTGCCACCTCACAGCAAGAAGGGGTGCTGGTTCGAGTATCCAGTTGGCATTTCTGTTTGAATTTTGCATGTTCTCCCCATGTTTGTGTGGGTTTCCTTCGGGTGCTCCGGTTTCCCCCACAGTCCAAAGACATGAACTATAGGTGAATTGGATTAACTAAATTGGCTGTAATGAAATGTGTTTCCCAGTGCTGGGTTGTGGCTGGAAGGGCATCCGCTGCATTCCAGAATAGTTGGCGGTTCATGCCTCTGTGGTGACCCCTGATAAATAAGGGACTAACCCAAAGGAAATGACTGAATGTTTATATTATATGACAAAGTTCTGTTCTTCTAAGGAGTGTTTTATTCGTGTCTTTCTGTAGCTTGTCCTAACTGTAGGTTCCAGTATGCTCTGGCCAGGGGCGGCTGCATGCACTTCAGCTGTTCTCAGTGCAGATATCAGTTCTGCAGTGGATGTAACAACCCCTTCCACACAGTGAGTTCCTTTCTCTTCTTGTTGTCGAAGGATTATTTGTGTCTATTTGTAGCTCCATGCGCATGCTATACGGCGCTCCACACGACTGTGATATTCAGTTTTGAAGCCAGCTACGAACATGGCTAAAAGTAGCATCTTTCTCCAAAGCACAGATTCTTCGCTCCTTTTTATTCATCCTCTTTCCCTCACACTTTTGCTCACTCCTTCTCTGGCAGACATGTGCAGTGAACCAGTGTACTGTGACAGGTCTGCATGCCCATCACCCCAGAGACTGCCTCTTCTACCTCCGAGACTGGGAGCCTGCAAGGCTTCAGGCCTTACTGCAGGTACACGCACACACACGCACGCACACACACACACTTCCTCCTACACAGCCACGCTCACAGCACTCGTGTGCCAGGGTTGGTTGTGAAATATCACTTCTCATTGCCATCCTTTTATTTCAGAAACTTGTTTAAACGTCATTTTGTGTCCACAGAAAAAAGGGGTGAACTACAATACTGAAACTGCACCAGGAGCACAGACTGGTACGTGTTTATTTGTAAGAATGATAAAAGTTTAATGCGATAGTTCATCCAAAAATGAAAAAAAATGTAATCATTTACTCTTCTGTTGAATTCAAAACGTATACTGAAGAATAATAGAAAAAAACAGCCATTAGCTATGCTTCCATTCAAAAACGTGAATTAAATGAATGCGCAAAACTGGATATTTCATAAAAGACGTGTGAATAAAGCAGCAAGAGAAGCTGCGTGAATCTTTTTTTATTTAATAATGACATTCACCTCAGAAGATGATGCCGACACACAATGAAGGTTTGAAGTGGCGTTTAAAGGTGTAAGACGTGGAGCACAGGCGCTCTTGACAGTTCTGGTGGTAATTAATAATATAATAACACTAATATTGAAACTGTTAAGGCATTTTAGAATGATCAAAACAACATTTCAGATGTTTTACAATGCGGTCAGCCTGCTGGTTTGTCCATTCACACATACTTTTATCATTACATGATTTCTTATAACAAAATCACATGACCTTTTTAATGCGCAAACTGGAGTTTGGGAAAAGTGTTTCCATCATAGTTTATATGCATTTTTACCTATCAAATGAAAAGTTCATCCTACTCAGGTATGTGCATACGTTTTTTTAATGTGCATTTTCAAAATGTGCGCGCATCTTGGCGTTTCCATCAACCATTTTTTATGCGCATATCCAAAATGCGCATAAAAATAGTTGGATGGAAACATAGCTGTCGACTTCCATAGTATTTCTTGTTCCAACTATGGATGTCAACGGCTGCTTTTTCCAAACATGCTTCAGATTTTTATTTTTTGTTTTGTGTTCAATAAAAGAATGAAATTCAAAAAGGTTTAAAACCAGTTGAGTGTGAGTTAATGGTGAGAAAATGTTCATTTTTGGTTGAACTATTCCTTTAAGGCTTATTCTCATCAGGAATGACAACTGTGATACGATGTCCACACTAATAATATTCTGTTTACTGTGAGCATGCACTGCACTGTTGTTGTTTGCTGCTTTAATTGCTTGTACTCTTGAAATTTGTTTAGATTCTGTTTGATGTTTTTATCAGTCATGTGAAAAATAGGTTTTGGAAAGTGATTTCAAGGAACTGTGGCTCTACTTTTTTATTTATTAGTATTATTACTTTAGACTATAGCCCCTTTCACACATACAGACCTTTCCCGAAAATTGCTGGTAATTTTTTCAACCGGTAAATTCGTTCTGGCCATTTTCCGGAAAGAGAAGTTGTAACATTACCGGTAATTTGCCGGAATGCTGCACTGTGTGAACGCAAAAGGAAGATTGCCGGAAAGAGCGCGTGCATGTCTAGAACGTGCTGACGTGAGACGTCTGCTTTAGCCAATCAGAACAGTCAGACGCATTCACGTCCGCGCGGTTTATGAGAATAAAAGCCTTTA